TATATATACATATTATATATATATATATATATATATATATATATATATATATATATATATATATATATATATATATATTATATATATATATATCACTTCAAACATTTCCTTCATGTCACAAAGTTGGATATGCCAAATCTTTCGATTCCTAAACATCAACATATGTGGCATTTAAAAATGTAATTTACAGGTGAAAAAGCTTATTTATGAATGTATAAACATCTATATAAATATTTAATGAAACAAAAACGAATGACAAAAGCACATAAATCATAAACCAGAAAATAGAATGTAGCAACTCTTTGACCAATGAGAATGTTTGAAACATTTACTGCCGTTCATTCATAATTGATGTCATTTACTATTTTACACAAAAAACGGATTCTTGCCATACGTCCCATGGTACGTTAAATAATATGTTGTATATTAGTAAACATGATTTATTGTGGAACATAATGTTTACTACATATGTATAATTCAAATACATATTTATAATCCAATATTATTCCCAGGGAATTATGTGCATATTCCCGTAGGAATATAAATACGGAATTCATAACGCTTCATGGACACCCAGTCAGCAGTGTTACAAGTAAATTTATATATCCAAAACAGCAAGGGATTATTAGCCGAGACTGTGCTTATTTATTGCTAGGTGAACAAGAGCATCAGGGAAAAAAACTCTGCCAATTTGTTTCCACCTCTACCGAGAATCGAACCCGGGCCACAGGACTACGACCCTGAATCGACCAGTAATGGACATTGGAGTGCTTGCAATTATTTGATAGATCACCCTGATAAACGTCTGGTTCTGGGAGAGGGGTTCAGCGTCACCTTTATTCAGGGGTACAGCTCACACTTCCTAGTTGCTATGAGTACACACCTGCTCTCGAGCCACTGTGACTCCCCGCACTCTCCTTACTGTGGGATGACCTCTCAATCCCCCGGAGATATAGTCCACTGTCACCCAAGTTACAGCCGTGTCTTTCTCTCTCATTAGCCAGGAAGCCTCACCAGGACTAGAGTAAAAACCAGCTAACATATGAGACATTTAATACAAAAACACATACAATATGTATATACTAGAATAGTGATATTACTATGCAACTCCTTAGGCTGCTACCAACTAATAACACTCCAACATTCCCAAAAGTTTTCATCCTATAACCGTACTACGTTTTGCTCAGTTCTCAACTCACAACCTACTGCATCATTCACTGCTTTGGGCTGAAATACAGGGTAAAAAAATATTCATATATCTCCTACTGTAAAACAGACATCAACCTCTCCCCGTTCACTGCGCCTTTCACGCCAAAAACGCAGTCATGTACTCCTTTAAACCTCAATGTTTCCGAACTATCCTCCGTTCTATTCTTCGAGGTTCACTATCAAATACATCTGTCTGGGTCCTCAAAATCATGTTAAGTATTCCATGCAGTTCCTCCAATCTGCCGCATCTGAAGTCCTCCTCGAATGTCCGTGAAGCTCTCTCACACGGCTTCACACTAAAGACGTGTAACCCCCTACACTACTTGAAGATTCACTATGTCCATGGAGTTCCACTCCTCACTGGAAGTCCAACTCCACCTTGCAGTTTAGCTCCCACTATGAGTTGCAGCTCACACTTGGAGTTCATCATACACTCCTTCTCTGGTACGAAGTCCCTTCATTAACTTCTCCCACCAAATGTTACAGTTCTCCCACACAAACTGCAGAATTTCTCGAGGGCGTTCAACTCCGACCCTCCAGGATGGCATTCTCTAAGGCGTCCAACAAAGTTTCTTTCAGACTGCCTTACAGCTCTTCTGCTCCTGACTTGAGTACAATAAGTCACCCAACAGGCTTCACACATAAACTCCTGCTTGATTCCCTTCTCTTGAAGGAGTAGAGAATTAGAGTTCCACAAAGGTGTGACCACCCACTAGGTTCCAAGTCGCCTCTAATAACTGCAAATCACAGAGAAATGGTGTACAATGCTCCCTTACAGCT